CTTGTTTTGAGATCCCAGAGATTTTCTCGGAAGACAGAAACTGAGATTTTGTTTCGTAATATGATAGCTTTAGAGCAATGCCATTATCCGTTCAAATCTTACATTACGGAGTATGCTTTTATATTGGATTGCCTAATCAATGAGCATCAAGATGTGGATCTAATCACTCATAAGAAAATCATTCACAACTTTCTAGGCAATGCCAATGATGTTGCTAATTTATTTAATGGTCTCCTTAAACATATCATGGGGGAGCACATAATAAGTACCCATTACCATGAGATTTGCCAACAGTTGAATCGCTAGTGCAAATGTGCTTGGAACAAGAGGTGCGCAAATTTGAAACGTGATTATTGCAAGACGCCTTGGCATGCTATGGCTTCTGCTGCTGCTATTGTGGTCATACTTCTCAACCTTATTCAAACCATATTGGCTTTCCTCCAAATTTGACTAGATGAAGTAGAGAGGGGGGGGGGGAGAGAGATTGTTCTGTGCTTGAAAGGTGTGTTCACCGTCTACACCCATAAGTTGGTTTCTTGATGATGTCCATGACTGTTGTGATCTTTGTTCATTTGTTGTTTTCATTAAACAAAGTTATGACTAGTGTGAACTTTCTGTGTTTCCAAAAAAAATCTTCTAAATTTAGGTTATAGAGTTCATATTCTTTCAATTTCTGCAGTAAACATTACGATAAAAACTTACTGGTTTATTCCCTCTATGTTGTTATTTATTTTTTTTTTCCTTGTGCTTTGAATCTTTTGATTACTGAGTTCCTTAGTGGGCTTTGAGTTTGTTTGGCTAGTGTTTAAGCATTAGAATTTTGTTATTTCTGTTAACAACCTGATAATTGTGCTCATGAGATACCGTATTTTTGCTTGCTTTATTTGTTCGATATGATACAGTGTTTCCTAAGGTTTTGAGGTGTGTAGAACAAAATTAATAGATATAGGTATGATGTTGAGTATGAAATTGGGCAATTGGCAAATTCCTCCATTTTCTTTTTATTTTTGTGGTTTCAATTTTTTCCCTAATTTTTCAGATTTTTATTGCTTCAATATTTCTTGCATCTTTTTAGTTTGTATTCCCATTTCTCCTGGTCCCCTATCTTCATGTTTAGGATTACTTTGATTAATTCTCAATTTTTTGTTTAAAAAATTATGGATTGGAATGCATATCGTTATGGTTACAATTATTCTCAATATCCCTGTCCTTCCATATGTTCATCTTTATTTTAGATTATTAATCAATTAAAATAATCATTTAAAAAAACAAAAAAAAGTAAACCTGGACTATTCTGGACTTGGCCCATTAGTTTGAGCTTGGCCCATTAGTTTGAAGAGGTTCAAACAAGAATTACGCTTTAAAAGTCTTATTTAAAACCTTGAAAAAAAAAAAAAGAAGAAGAAGAAGAATTACGCTTTAAAAGAGCATCTTAAGATGCTGACTCAGAATCCAAATACAACCTTATGTGAGATGTCCTAGCACGCATGATAATTAGCTCGAAATGTTCATACCAAAAAAAAATAAAAAAACAAGAAAAACAAAAAACACCAATGCTTAGAGAGACAAACCTGGAAGTACAAAACGGGCAACAAGACCCAAAACCAGAAGCATATAATAGCATCCGGTAGTGAGCGGGGTTGCGCCGGACTCGATCACTTGAAGAGAGTGTCCAAGTCTGATATCATCTTTCTCATCTTTCAAGCCGGCATCATTAACGGCGACATTAGCTCCTCCCCATAATCTGTGTCGCGCGGTGTAAAAGAACATGATTTTGTACTTCACCGACGTCGTGAAATTCACCCGGAAGTATGTTTTCCCGTCCACCTTCGCCGTCCCGTTAAGTGCCCCGGAATGTGTTTCAACGGAGCTCCACTTCTTCGCGTTCTTCTTGCGCCCCTGATAGAACCCGGCAATGATGGAGCTCCCAATCGGGCTGGTGATATTCCGATCAAGAAAAACACCGACGGTGAAGTTGACGTTGTCATATCGAATCCCAGATTCCTTGTTTCCGTTATCGAACTCGACCATGAAGATTATGGCGGAGTTGGTAGTTGCATTTGAGGTTTTGTTCAGTTCAGGAGCGATGAGGGCTGCGATAGAGCATTTGGGTTCATTGGGTCGCAGACCTAACCATAGGAACAAGGCAAAGAAACCCAGACTGATTAACGAGCCGAAACAACATTTACACAAATCTCCTCCACGAGATCCAGCAGCCGTTCGCGCTGTCCCGCCTCTCATCATCGCCATTTTCTGACCGGCAGCTTGAATGGTACTTCAAGCAAGAAGCTAAGTGAGTGGCGAGAGGCAGTGTAATTATTGTACAACTACGCAATGAATGTAAAGGAAAGTGGCGAGTATTGTTAACGAGGGAATGAAAGCTGTGATTAGTTTATAATTAGATCATATTTACATTATTGATTGCTTTCTACAATTGAGTGTTCGGTTAGGCTACTTTTACTTGTGGTTCGGATTTGATTAATTAAAAAATTATGGAGATGCACAGACCATCACCATTATTTTTTATTTTATTGAATGATAGCGGTTTTTAAATGGTCAATGTTGATGGCAACGTTCAGAAAATTGGGTCTGAAGAAGTTTCTTAGAAAATGCATCTTTAAATGCTGATACACTAGAGATTCGTGATAACGGACAGTTTATTTAATTTTGTTTTGTCAGTGTTTATGTTGTTGTTTCTTTCATTTTGTCTGTTTTTATCTAGATTTTCGTTTTGTACCGTAGACCTTTTAGTTTAATAAAATCTCTTTCTATTGTAGACTTATAAATATATATATATATATATATATATATATATATGTACCTGCCCAGGAACAACATGCTCACGTGTTATCTCCAGTTTTTCTCTAGCATTTGGCATTTTGTCGTTAGGCTATATACATATTGTCACTTGATTTTTTCCAAAAAGCAAATAAAATAAATTAAACATATCAATATTAAACGTTGGCTGCTTCTTCTATGAATTATAGTCAAGTAGTGAAGCTGGTGTGCCAAAGGATATGAACCTCAAATTGGAATCATAGATCTGACTTTTAATCAAACAAACTACTGTGAGTATAAGTGGATATCTCTAACCAAAGTGCAGTGTGACAACTTCCGACAAAAATGACAGCTTGATAGGAAAAACTAGAGCTAGTGACATCAATGGCTGGTTTAAAATAACTATAAGCTGATTAACAATGTGCAAGCTATTTCAGCCCACACAGCCATTGCAAGCTGGCCCTTTCTACGAGCCCTAACTTTAAGAAAAGACAACATATCTAATGTCTCACTCAGTTTGTTTGAAATGCATATGTTATGTTGGCAAAAAAAAAAAAAGAAATGCATATGTTATCGTGTAATACAACATTGAAATTTATCTAGCCGTATGCCTCTAACGAATTCCAATATTCATTGAGAAATTAAAATTTTTTAAATATAATAGGTTTGAGTATCAAATAATTTAATCACATCATGCATTAAGTCCTTCGTTTCCAGTGACGGGTCGTAAAATATAACGGGGTAGGTAGGTTTAGATTGGATTTAAATATATGACCACCATAGAAATACGTGAAGGTACCCTCTAGTTTTAAACTATTGATTGAGATCCATATTTTAATTTGGATATTAAATATGATTTTAGATCGTTACATTAAAGGTGAAGTTTATGTAAAAAAGTTAATGTAACTTTTGGTCCTAAAATTTGGGTTTATTTTGATTTTGGTTCCTTCAATTTTAAATTTATAATTCTAGTCCCTGAATTAGAATCCAACTTATAATATTAGTCCTCGAAGATATAATGATGTTAAAATCTGTTAAAATGTTGTAAATAACATTAAAGTGATAATATGAATGCATCAGATAATATTTAGTTGGATATTATATGAATAATACAGTGAAGAAGAAAAAAGAATATGTCTCAAAAACACAACTGTTTAGCTTCTTTTTTTATCTCTAGCAACTTGTTTGATGGAGTTGTTCATATTTTGAGAACCTATCCCCTTTCGTATCATTATTATGTTATCATCGTAAGATCCAGTTAGATGTCATCTGGTAAATCCACATTATCAATTTAATATCATTCCTGATACTTTAGCGGTTTTTAATAGTGTTTCAGCTCTAGGGACCACCATTTTAAAATTAACTAAATTCTAGAAACTAAAACCACATGTTTGAAATTTGAGGGACCAAAATCAAAATAGATCTAAATTTTAGGAACCAAAAATTATATTAATTCTTAATTCTTAATTAAATTATCGACTTGAACACTATGCGTAAACGTTAAAAATGATGTTTGTGGCACCCAAGTTGCCAAAATATTTACTGAACAATAACAACAAAGAAAAACTAATTTACTGGTGCTTATTATTTTACCGGTCCTTTTATATATATATATATATATATATATTTTCCTTTTATTGAGTCCTTATTGTATGCTTGGTTTTTATGAGAGTAGTTTATGCTAGCGTGGCACACATCTTCTTGCTCATCTTCCTCGCCCCAAAAAAATTCCAGTCTCCTTTAATGCACACTCTGTTATTTCCCTCTCCATCATCGCCCTCTTCTTGCTTGCCTTTCTGAACCAAACCCCCACTCTCCTTCTTTCTCGCTCCCCTTCAATTCCCACTCTCTTTCCTTCCTTTCTCTCTCTACTATATTTTGCCCTTTGATATGTTTGTAATTCTCAGCTAAGATTTATTAACTGAAGCGTAAGTATTGGTGATATGCGGCATTAGCCTGGAGATACCACAACTACTGCCAATAGGATTTTCCTACCAATTTGGACATAGGTATTACACATGTCTGCGTAGGGTAGAGAGGGATGGCTTAAACACTAGCTAGAGAGATTATATTGGGATTCCAACTGCTTAGTCTCATTTTTTATTTTATCCACTGGATTATCTCTTTCAACCTAGTCTCAAAAGCTTAAGAGTCCCATAATTAAATACTATGCAACGGCTTAGGGATGTTCCATCCCAAACTATACAAACTCAATCAACAATTTATGTACCTAATAATTTTAGGAGAAAAGACACTAAAATACCCTAAAAAATGCTAAAGAACAAATTAGAGTAAGTGAATTTCAAAATCCCAAATCAGACCTCTTTTATTATTTTGGAATTTTGAAATATTGTGAAATGATAACATTATCCGTATTTTTAATGACTACTTTTATATAGCTATTGACTACTCTAATTTAACTATTGACTACTTTTATTTTCAAAGTTTCAATGACTAGTTTTATATAACTATGACTACATAAAAGTAGTAAATAACTAAATAAATAGTAGTCACTAGATCTCTAACAATATTTAATATATTTTTTGAAATTTTGAAACAAAAATAGTCAATAGTGACACTAGAGTAGTTAATAGCCATAAATGAGTAGTCACCAAAATTTTAAAAATGGAAGTAGTCAACCCCAATACCAGAGTAGTTAGTAGCTAAATAACAATAGTCATCAAAATTCTAAAAACAAATATAATTAATAACTAAAAAAGAGTAGAAATGTTGCCAGAGCTCCAACGGTTGGCCATTGGCAAGGTCATTGACATTGAAGCTTTGGCGGCCGGAACTGCTAAGGTGGCAATATTTTTTTAAAAAAAAGGCAAAAAAAAGTAAAAAGGCATTTATGTAATTTTATAAGATTTGAAAATTTCAAAATGGTAAAAACGGTTTAGATTAAATTTTGAAATTCATCCATGCTTATTTGTCTTTTTGCAATTTTTAAGGTATTTTATTGTCTTTTTTTTTCTAATTTTAAATATTTACTTGATGGCTTAACCCCTGATAGACGTATTAAAACAAAAATATTTTATAAAATAAAAACAATCCTAGTGTCTTGTGAGAGCTTTGTTGGTTAGTGAGTGATTTATAAATACCTTTATAAGCATTTTCTGAATTTGGAAGCATTCTCTAACCTCAATGAGTTATGGGATCAACTCATATAAACTTTTATTCAAAAATAATAATAAGAATGGTGCGATTGATTTTGAAAAATACCGAATCTAAATAACCACATTTAATATGATCGGCTGTCATGGACTTGCAGTGAACCGTCCATTCAAAATAAAGAAAGGAGCAGTGCCACATTTAGTATATGTTCCTTACTTTCTGACTTTCAATATGCATCAGAGTCATCTTCAATGCGAAACCAGCTGGATCTACAAAATCATCTTCGTCCGAGCATTCGATAGGCTATATTACTCCTCATTCTACATGTGGGAACTATTTTTTTCTTAATCACTAGAGTGCCCTTGCACATAAATCAAATTTTCCGATGAACGCATGATACCGGTTCCTCTCTTCTTCCTTTCTTAATCAACTAAATCAAGGAAGGCTATAAATGAAGTTCCAAAAACTTTTGCATAAAAGACGAAGTGACTTATTCTCTTATCCATAAATTGTTCAACACGTAAGATAAGTCGTAAATTGATTATGATTTACAATTAATCATGTGAAATTTAAAACTCAATTCTAAATCATATTACATATTAAAATTGGTTATTGGATAGTTTACAACTCATTTCTCGTTAATTATTTATAACTCAAGCGTCGATCATAATGAGGGGTATACGATAATGACCACTCGCACACAAAATAAAGTTTAAGGGGGTATATGATGATGAGGGGTTATTCACATGGATTGAAAAGCTTATACAGGTTTGTTGTTAAATTTTAAATGTTAAAATGGTTATTTATAGATGATATAAAGTTCAGAGGAGTTCTAACTTGTGCAACTCAGTATAAAAATTATACAGTAATAAAGTTAAGGTTTGATGGATTGAAATTAGGCTTAGCTTAAGTTAAATTGCAAATCCAAAAAAAATAATTAAATAAATTGGGAACATTGTGATTGGGATTATGTGTTATTTTGTAAATTCCATGACTTCATGCTCCAAACAAACGACCAATTTCTCCTTGTTTCTAAATTGCATATGATATGATATATTGATTTATTTTAAAATTTAAACAGACCCTATATATGTTTGCTCACATATTTAATATACTCCTTCTTATCCATAATATAAAACGTGGGTTAGAAAAAAATTATAGTCCAAAATATAAAATGTTGTCAAGATAATTAATGTGATTGTTTTTTTCTCATTAAATATAGGAGAGAGAAGATAAAGATGAGAGAGACGAGATAATATAAGTGTAAATATTATATACAATTTTATCATTTTTTAAGAAAAAATAGAAAAACTCCATCATTTTAGAATAAATTTAATAATTAAACTTTTATTTTTTTAGTATACAAGAAAACTTAACTATTAACTTCTTGTATTATACCCTCATGGGAGTACTTTGGTAAGTAATTTTATGACATGGCGCAGGTGGTTCCCGCCCATTCAATAAACAGAAGGCTAAAGACAGAAATGCAGACGGCAGAGATGATGGGATCACGTGAAAGACATTGTCCAATAAAATGGAGACACCTATATTACAATTCTCCCACTTTCGTATCCCATGATTTAAAGCCATTTTGATTCAGACCAATGCTTCTTCAGAAATGTGTGCACACATATATATATATATAAATATATATCTTCTTCTTTTTTTTGGTCAAGTACATATATATCTATCCACGGCAACCTATTTAATTTGTGGACGAAGCATTGGGTCCATTATTTAGATTTTAAAATCAACGTGCATATCACAGGAAAAAATTACATTATTTTATTATTCACAGTGGATAGGGACCCCACCCTAGTAATCACGGTCCCCAGTCCCCACCTCGTCAAAGCGGTCAAAGAGCTGGATTGGATTGATATCCCGATCCTCATTTAATATCTTCATTTGGATGGAATGCCACAGTGAGAAACGTATAGGGATCCTATCCTCTCTCTCTTTTTTTTTTATCATTTTCTTCTTCTCATGGTCGGAAAAAAATGCGTAGCTGGAATTCAATGTTTTATAAAATTATTATTATTATTATTTATTTTTAAGTAGTTTGCTGTTGTAAATTGTCTATAACAAATTTCAATATTTTAAATTCATTATTGTAATCTTAATTTTACTAGATATTAAGTGTCAACTATTGTTTTTTTAATTCAACGATGAAAACGGGATCAGGAAAAAAAAACTGAGACAAAGGATGAGAAGATGGTACAAATATGTAAGGAAGATATTGGACTATTTGAAATAGCTTATAAGTAGGTTTTTAATTGTGATTTATAAAATACTAGATGAGTATGTGAGATGAGTTTTTTCTCAACTTAAATAAACTATATTTATAAGTATTTTTTGAACTTTTTGAGAAACAGGCCAACAACCATTGTAAAATAGTCACTGAAAGTGTCAATGAGGATATATTAAAGCAGCTGCAGCTGTTTGGTGAGCAATCTTGTAAAATGTTGGACGTGGCTCCCGTGCATTCAATCTCTCATTTTTTAATACTATCTTGCTGCTTAATATAAGAATTGATATATGCATATATATATATATATTTATATAGAGAGAGAGAGAGAGAGATAATATAAAATACTTCTGAATAAAATACATATACTACTCCCTATATCACTGTAATTATAGTTATTTACATCTCTTCTGCTTTTAAAACCTGTATAAACCTAATTTTCCCTATATTTTTAAGATTTTATTTTCATCTACAATACAAGAGTTGTTTAGATTTCTCTTTGATTTTTTTTTTAAATGGATCTAAATGATTTACTATTCTATTCTGAGTAATACTTTGATAGGTAGTGTTATGCATGTGTACTGAAATGATTTGACCCAAGGTAACTGATAAGCAGTGATTTATTGAAGTATTCTTTTTTTTTCCCCCAGATTAAGCACATATATCCTCCACTTGATTTGTTAAAGTCTTTTTTTCTGTTTTTTTTAATTAAGCACATATGTTCTCTTGCCGAAGGTGTATTCGAAACACTATTAAGTATTAAATATTTTTTTTTTCTAGTACAAATTCAAACTCTGGTTTATTATGGTATGAGATACTAACTCTATTAGGCCCAACTCTTATCGATTACTTATTGAAGTCCTTTTTTTTTTTTAGTTTTAACACTTAGACTAAAATTCACTGCCTCCTCTCCCGGAGAAACCCCCCCCCCAAACAAAAATCAAAACCTTTTCTTTCTTTTTGCATAAGTAAATTACAGATCAGAAAGAAGATTACGATAATGGTTATGCATAGATCTATCTAATACTATCTTCTCACCTTAATATAAGAGCTAGATAATTAATCTGTGAATATTAAAAAAATTAATTAAGTTAATTATTTACTTATTTATAATAAATGAGTATTATATTATTAAAATATCATTGTTAATCATGTGTATTAAAATGAAAACCCTTTAACATATATGATCACCATGGAGACTACTTGGAAGATAAATAAATAAATATGAGAGACAAAGTAGACTTAAATCTTATATTTATGGTCAAATTGAATTTTTAACTAGTTTTTATATTTAGAAATAGACGTAGTATTTCCAACGGTTTGACATCAAAGGTTTTGAGGTATTGATCTTCAATCTCTCACAATATTTTTAACAATATCTTGTACGATGTTCATAGACATATTAAGATGCTAGGAAGTTTATGGAAAGCTATCATAAAGGAAACAGAAGTCTATAGAAATTTGAAAAAAAAAAACTAACTCTTTCAGATATATCAATATTTCACATTTTCAACTTTTTTTGGGGGTAATTTGGCCCAAAAAAAAACTTTTTTTGGGGGTAATAGATTTTAATAAATTTTATCAAAAAAAAAAAGAAATCAGCTTTTATTTTTTATTTTGAATTAGCTATTTTTCTTTATTTCCCTGCTGGAACAATCGGCCAGATCACCACAATTAACGCAACTCGGCCTCAGGAAGGCAATCCATCTCATCATACTCTACCCGTTTCCAAGAAAAAAGAAAAAATGGCCGTGTTCATTTTTATTAGTGAACTTAAAATAAAAATAATTCTATAACTAAAGCTTCTTAAAAAATACATTTATTATTAAAAAAGCACAGATTAAAAATTTTAAATTTGAACAATTCATATCAAATTCTAAATAATCCAAATTTGATCACAACAATCAATAAATGATATAATCAATAATCAATAATTAAATATAAAAAAGAAGGGCAAGGAAATGAAAGTAGCACATGGAAAGAAATTATGTCACATAATACAAGAAAAACCCGGCCTAAAATCAAGAAATTAAAACTGAAAATACATGATACGGTTGGAAAAAAAAAGGGAAAATGACAGTAAAATACCATGTGAATTTTAAAAAGACAAATAAGACACATGAATAAGCAAAATGACAAAGAAGGCATCAGGTACCAATCTGGAATTTTGATTTTTGACCTAATGACCAAATTGCCCTTATTATTTTTGAAACTGAGGAGATAGAGAAATGGAGAAATCGCCTCCTCCCGACGAAAGCAATCCCCCCACTCGATGAAACCGAATCCCCCCACTCGACGAAACCAATCCCTCTACTCAGCTAGTAAAACCGAATCCCTCTACTCGGAGAAACCAATCCTCCCACTCGGCGAAACTAAATCCAAGCTCCTCCAGTCACAGAAAAAGGTTCTCCTAAATTACATTACCGCCGTTGCAGGAGTAAAGTGCTATCGGTGAAATTGGTAACCGTCACAAGAGTAGAGTGCAGTCATTTGAATATATGTAATGTATCTACTGTCATATGGCTACTGGTTTTTGGTAAATACCATTACGTGAATGGTACATTCCATTACACATGTAGTTAGTATGAAAGTTAATGGTTCAATGTTTACTTTGATGTACTTCAGGTGCAGTCATTTGAATATATGTAATGTATCTGCTGTTATATGACTGCTGGTTTTTGGCAAATATTGTTTCGTGAATGGTGCATTATATTACACAAAGTAGTAACTCTCACTATAAAAGTTGTAAATACCACTATGTACTTTGTAAAATTCAGCATGAAATTGTATTGTTTTTTATAGAGAATTTACCCTGCCCCTCACAAAAGGTTGCAAAGCCCATTGAAGAAGTAGTAAATATCATTATGAAAGTTGTTATTCCCAATATGTATTTTGTAAAATTCAATGTGGAATTGTTTTGTTTTTGACAAAAACGTTGCCCAGCCCCTCACAAAAGGTTGTAAAACCCATTGAAAAAGTGGTAAATCTCACTGTGAAAGTTGTTATTCTCACTATATGTT